GGAGGCCATCGCTATTAGGTTGGAGGCCATCGCTATTAGGTTGGAGGACATCGCTATTATATAGATTGGAACCCATTGCTTCTAGGTTGGAGGCCATCGCTATTAGGTTGGAGGCCATTATCACTACAAGGTTGGAGGCCATTGCTTCTAGCTTGCGGGCCATCGCTATTAGGTTGGAGGCCATCGCTATTGGGTTGGAGGCCGCCGCTACTAGGTTGGAGGCCATTGCTTCTAGGTTGGAGGCCATCGCTACAAGGTTGGAGGCCATTGCTTCTAGGTTGGAAGCCATCGATATTAGGTTGGAGGCCATTGCTATTAGGTTGAAGGCCATTGCTTCTAGGTTAGAGGCCATCGGCCATCACTACTAGGTTGGAGCCCATTGCTTCTAGATTGGAGGCCATCGCTATTAGGTTGGAGGCCATCGCTATTGGGTTGGAGGCCGCCGCTATTAGGTTGGATCCCATCGCTATTAGGTTGGAGGCCATCGCTATTAGGTTGGAGGCCATTGCTTCTAGGTTGGAGGCCATCGCTATTAGGTTGGAGGCCATTCCTATTAAGTTGGAGGCCATCGCTATTAGGTTGGAGGCCATTGCTATTAGGTTGGAGGCCATCGCTACTAGGTTGAAGGCCATCGCTATTAGGTTGGTGGCCATCGCCATTAGGTTGGAGACCATCGCTATTAGGTTGGAGGCCATCCCTATTAGGTTGGAGGCCATCGCTATTAGGCCCTCTCTCCCCTCTCTCTCTCTCTCTGTCTGTCTCTCTCTCTCTCTCTCGGAGAGAAGTACATATCGCGCTTTTCACAAGGCCACCACCCAATTCTCTGCAGCAACGAGCGCCTCCAAGAGACTCACCACTGGAAACTTGTGTCTCCCTGCATTATGCCGTGTCAGCAGGCAGCATCCTACTTGGCAGGCAGCATCCTACGTTATATCCCCCACCAAGCCTTCATCGCAGCTGTGTCACTGATCATGTGTATCCTTTTGCACCATTCAAGCTGAGAGCCTCGCAACACTGCTTGTGAAGGAGCCAAGTGATCGAACTGGTCAGAATTTGTAGCTTCCCCGTTTGATGAGGTACTTGAGGAGACTGCGGTCTGTACATGATGAGTGCCCTTGCATGTTGGAACGGAATCTCTGTAAACTCCCCACCTTGAGAGCTTCTGTGCGAAAGCGTAGTCTGAGAAAGTCTGAAGTTCTCCATCAATTTTGTTGCCTGAGACCATTGCATACTGGTCTGACAAGCGACCAGAGCCGCCCCTAGAGCTATCGCATTGGGAGTGCACTGATCTCTCTGCATTCGCCCCAACAGTTCCACTGCTCTTGACCATGCGCTGCCACTCTCACAAGCTGCAATAGCAGCTCCATATGTTGTCACATTAGGGCGGAGGTCATAGATCTTCAAATCGTCCAAGAGGATCAGGGACAGTTGCCAGTTCATACCATTGCCACATGCATTGATCACTGAGCTCATGCTCACCAAGTCAGCAGTCATGTCCAGCTGCATCTGCCCAAACAGCCGCAGCGATTCTTGCCACAGCGACGCTTTGCCAAGGGCTGTGATGCAGGTTGTGAATGTCATCCGATCGGGTCGAATCTTTTGACACGGCATGTTGCTAAACAAATGAACTGCTGCCTCCCACTCATATCCTGCGATCAAGAAAACTGAAAGGATGAACAAAAAAGCAGCCTCAACCCGTCTGGCAAGCAAGGCTCGAAAAGAGTTAGCAATTAAGAGCTGCCAAAGGACCGAACATATCTGCAACAAGTGCGACATTAATGCATGCGGATGCATGCTCTCCTTTGGAGCAAGCGTTCAAGGTCGCATTGTACGCCACCAGACTTGGCTGAAGACTGCTGGCCTGGACTTCACATTAAGCAAGTCTTGAAAGAATGGATTCACAAAGACTCAGCCTTCAGGTCGGAAAAAAGGGCCAACGATGCCATCCAATCCTGAAGAACCCATAAGAAATCATCATAAACCCATCGCAAGTGGACAATGTGGGGGCCAAGCAGCGCTCCTGCCCAACCCCACAGGCCGAAATGAGTGTGCTGAAGAAGTGAATATCTGGTCGAACTTTCTCTCTGCGCATCTCTCCAAGCAGTTCGAGAGGTCTTTCCCACTGTGCACTTCTGACGAAGGCCTTGGTTGCACCCCGAACACTTCAGAATGGACTAGCTACCACGGAATCCTGAGATATCCTGAGACCCTTCCTCTGTCCAAAGCTCCTAGCGCCCTGCACTACATGAGGCTGTGTTTGAGAAGCACGCTATCTTTTGCGACAGTACGTCATCTCGGATTTAGCATCTTATCTTTGGCTGCTCTTCATGCAAGCTTGGCAATTCACATCAATTCTACAGTATACAGTGACACTAGTACTGGTAGATACTGGTAGCATGCTTTAGCCTAGGGACGGTCTCCTGTTGATTGTTAAACAGGCAGGGTGGGTGGGCGGGTGGGTGGACCTAAGTTTGTTTCTGTTTTTAGATACGTTGAGAAGCACGATCAAGATATGCGTAAGGAGCATGAAGGCTCAAGAGGTCGCCACGATGTGTGTCTGAGTTCTGTTGCTTCGCTTGTCGGCTGTTCTGTGTCTTCCCTGCTTTGTGTGCCTTCTTCCTCTGTGGCATGTCAATCCTTTTTCTTTGGCCGAATATATTGACGGTTTAACGCGTGATTGTTCTAAATTGTTCTGGTCCTTTAGCTTCTTTTGCGCACCAAACCGTTTTGGATTCAGATATATATATATATATTCAGATCGTTTAAGCTGGGAGTTGATGTTGAACACTCATTTGTCGTTGTATCAACTTTGGTGCAACGTGTGGTTGAGACTTTCTCTCTCGGAAAAAAGAAACAGCGGCTAAGTCCTTTCCCTTGGGTGCTTTAGTGCTGAGTCGGCGTTTGTTGCGTAGTTGTAGCAGCTCCGTGTCGGATTTTCCTGTCCGTGGCCGATCATGATCTGCTGTGCGTGCATTCGCATCCTCCAGTCGTCTGTGCCCGCCTTCGTGACACGTCCTCACTGACTCCCGATGATTCGCTCGACCATCGAAAAAAAGGGATGAACGCGCAGCTTGCCTAGGGAGAGCAAACGTCACAAAAACGTTGCAAGTGGACGTGCCCCGAAGAAGGCGTTGTTTAAACAAGAAAACTGATGAGAATCCATTGTGTTTTCCAAATAAATTAACATCAGACACCAGCAAAAAAGGGTACGGTGTCCAATCCGTACGGATGTTTTACCATATAATGACAGTATTATCAGACTTTGGTTCTGGTTGCCAATGTTGTCATCGTTGTCATCATTGTCATTGTTGTTGTTGTTGTTGTGGTTGTTGTTGTTGTTGTTGTTGTTGTGGTTGTTGTTGTTGTTGTTGTTGTTGTTTTTTGGTGGCCAGCGTCGGCGTCGGCGACTGCCCGTCCCTGTTGCTGTTGCCCTTGTTCTTGCTATTGTTGACGGTGCTTTGCCAAAGGGACCTGACTTGCCTATAGCCTATAGCTGAAAACTGCTTCAAACAGATATCTGACAGTCTCTACTATCAACTGAACCTCAACATCCAAGCAGAATCCCCAAATCAATGATCACTCTGTATCAATTATATCACATAACGTGCTAAACAAAAGGGGTGGCCACAATCATTAAACTCATGAGCCTGGGTTCTTTGAACACCTCACTCACCTCACATTGTCTCCTGGACAACATGCCTGCACCCAAGAAACTGTGGCCAGCGAGCTGTAGGTGAAAGTACTTGGTTGCAATAACCTGCATAGGAATTACATCGTTGTATCCCTCACGTTCATGAATGAATTTGACTAGCATGGTTATAGGCATAGGCATAAGACAATTGAATATATACAATTGCTTCAATTAGTGCACTTGATCACATCTATATACAGTAGTCTAATATGTCATGTCTAATTATCACAATCAGCATTGCAATAGAACGGACCCGACAATTGGCCATGACCTTCCATGCAATCGAGCAACTCCGTTCGCAAATCTTGCATAACTTGGACAGCCATCTCCCATTGCTGCTGCTTACCAAAGTCGCCAATTCGCGCAGTACGTTTCTCAGGGACATATCCAAAAATAGCTTGTATGCTATGACAGTGAAATACAGTGAATGAAAATCATGTTAAAATCAGTGTGCTCCAAGCACACTAAGTAGCCTCCCCGCCTTCAGGCTTGCTCCTCGCAGATCCAAAGGATTCCAGGGCATGTGCTCGGCAAACACTCTTGAGTTCTAAGAGTCTCTCAGTGACTCAAAGAATCAAGCCTCGGCAAACAGCTTACCAGGTTTGGTATGAGCAGGGACTACTCATTTTCATCCAGCCTCAAAGACCCCAACCCTCCCGGACCCCGGGGCCCCCCGAAAAATGTCCTTTTTGTGGCCCAAGTGCTCGCGCCATGTTGTTTGAAGATGTTTTTGCTTGCTCTGTTTAGAAGCGGCACGCAAGGAATAACATCATTCCCCAAACCCAGCACTAGGAAAACTGCTTGGTGAGCACTAGCATTCATGGAGTTGGTGATGAGATTCAACATCTCTTGGTCTTCTTCCTCAGCAATAGATGAGTGGATCTGTTGGGTTGCTGCAGCACATCATGCACAATCTGCACTTTGATGTCCACAAAGTGTTGGCCCAGCCCCTGCCACGGAATCCGCAACTCAAGCTTCACAGAAAGACGGAAGAGAGATGGCGGTTGGAACGATCCGCGAAGGAGATCCATTTGTTTGAAACTACAAGGCAACAGTTCTGGTACCGGCTGAGTTTGGTGAGTGGCTATGAAAACAGTGTTGTATAGTATAGATCATGGTTTTTGAGATTTAACAAAAGCGTCATGCAAGGAAAATCGCAAAGTAACCAAGCCAGGAACAGGACTTTTTGAAGCCCGTCCGGTGCTGAGGTGTGCAGTATCGAAAGTATGCCAAAACTGCAAAAACATGCTCTACGAAAACCACTCGAGGTTTGGAGGGCATGCTGTTATCCTATACAATGCAAATGGGAGCTTCCAAACTTTCCATGTCCGTTTGCTGGCCAAGCCAAAACGAAAATCCAAACGCTTCGGGACGCTCTGGGGCAGCGGTTTCTTCACCGTCAACAACTCGACGCACCTCACAATTTGAAAGGGTGGTGACCACGTGGTGAGTGCAAAGCATAGTATCTATTGCATAATATCTCTACTGTTCATGCTGCAAACACTAAAATCTCGATCACACTCGTAAACGTGTTCGTACGCATCTACAGATTGGCAAGAATCAAAAACGGCTGGTTGTCAAAATGTTGGTTTGCAAAATCCTTCATGAACCTTCAAGAAACTCACAAGTATCAACAACCTGCCTCTGGGCAAAGGGTGAGAGTGCATCCCACTGTGTTGCGGCCTCAATGTACACTGAGCGTGGGCAATCATGGACTCACAGTTGATTGTTGAACAATAATGTGTGTCCCAGGAATGCAAAGCATATCATGACACGCAAGATACACGCTTACCTTTCTCCACAAGGCACATGCATATCCACGCTTTCAAGGAAAAGCGAGGCCCATGGCGTCTACTTCTTGTTTGCCTGGCTACGTTAAGAGCTCTGCCATGAAAACAATCTTGCACCGCCATCTCAATGTTTGATCATTGCTGCCGGCAAGTCACATGGATCCTCATGTTGCTACCTGGTTGCCTGCATTATCTTGCAAGAGACTGTTCGGCCCAAATTGCACCCAGCTGCCAGGGTTTGACTGTGCAGTGCTGCTAGCAAACATTGCATGTTCTGATGCTTCATGCTTCAAAAAGAATCAGCTTCCAAACACACTAGGAAAGTTTGCACTGGAGATGGCACATACTCCCTTTCACCAAGGCCACACAGGCATCTGAATCCATTCGCTCAAGGTGGACGGAGCCTACACTGTGCCGGAGGCGGGTATCCGAGACTGAAAAGCCATGCCAAAACATTGGTAAAACACGACAAATCACCAAGTCGGTTTACCGTAGAACTTGAGACATCGGACAAACAAAAGGCCTTTTGATGCGAAAGTATCGCCATTGGTCCAGCATCCTGGGCCGAAAAACATGCCTGGTTGCCAATCTGCACAGCTTCAACACTTGAACAGCATCCAATTGTACAGTTCTGTGCCCTGTGCTTCTTCAGTAGCGGACCAATCCAAAGATCCTTCTCCTGCTCCGCGCATTTTCTGTAGGAGCTTCATCCTCAAGCAAAGCGCAGCAATTTGTCAAAATGAGCTGGGATGTGCCAAACCAATCAGCTGGCAGTTAATTTTGTGAACATGATCAGCTGGCAGCTGCCCATGCAGCCTCCTACCAAGTTGTTTGCTAGCAGCTGCATTAGATACGTACTTGTCTGCCTGCTTTTCTGCATACTTGAAGAACTCTCTCCCTCGCTCTCGCTCTGCCTCTCTCTCTCTCTCGCTCTGCCTCTCTCTCGCGCTCTTCCTGTTTATCAACCATTTGTTTGAATATGAAGTTGGAACTACAAGTAAGTACGCGTTGAAAGGCAAACATTGTGGTACAGTACTGGAGTGTTCTGAGAAAAGCGCTCTTTGCCATTGGATCTGAAAGATCTTGCTGCTGCCGCTGCTGTCAACTCAGCTTCAGTATCAGAAGACATCATGAGGTTTCTGCGTCCATGCCACTGGGTGGCTAAGCCCCGCACCTGCTGCAAGGGGATATTCTGCCTGAGCGAAACAAACATACAGCACATCGAATTGGATCCAAGCAAACATGGCAGATCCTCCCAGTCTTCCCCCTACCTCGGCGTATCGTGAGAAACAGCTAATGCCATTCCCCTCTTGCCACTGATGCCTTAGCATATGGTAGAATCTGACATTTTTACCTTCCAGATTTGCTGCAAAACAATGTATATTGAGGTCCTTCATTTTGCACACTTTCCTTTGCAAATCACTGCACCACTTTACCCTTTGTCATAATCTGGGCACTGGAGGCGTTGAAAACTACAGGATGCGTAGGCTCGTCAGGCCTCAGACAATCACAAGTGGCTGCCAATGATTGATCGATTTGCAATAGTCCAAATTGAACTCAAAGTCCTTCCTGCAAAGTGCAGGCTGTGGTTACGTTGGAATGTGGACTCTGAAATGACCCCTATGAAGTCGAGTAACTAGTAAGCCCCTTGCACTCTTGCAGTCTCATGCCCCAAAAACAAATGATAGTGCAACAAGTACATGACATGTATTATGTGTGTATAACTGTATATTGTATATATACAGATACATACACCACTAGGACCTATAGTTTTTCTTCTTGAAGGTTCCAAATTGAGAACCCTTTCCTCATAGAATCCTGCAAGATGCTTCACACAGTCATGTGTCCTCCCGACATGATAATTGACCGTCCCACTGGCCACGCAAAATGCACTTCTTAATTTGAGCGCGCCTGATCCACATAGATTTTATAGGACCCGGTAAGAAGAAAAGAACGTTCTTCCTTCTCAATGGCATCTGAAAGAGTATTATATAAAGATGTTCATCGAGAGGATACAGCGCCGGCTTTGCGGAGTACTTCAGGCTAGTGATAAGGCAGCAAGCCATTTGTGTGAGGATTGACGTTTTTGAGGCGAAGCTCGCCCTTGTTCATTTCGCCCAACGCTTAACCTCATCTGTGACGCAGTACTGGGACAGAAAGTGAGTCTTCTTGAAGGTTCCGAATTGAAAACCCTTTCCTCATAGAATCCTGCAAGACGCTTATGTCGCCTCGCAGGGTCGAATTTCCTCCCTCCAAAGCTGCTTGATTGTTATACTGTAAATCTTAAAAAGAGGGCAATAATTGACCGTCCCACAGCGTGAAATAGACTCCTTGATCCGACTGAAAAGGAAAAGACTTTCTTCCTCCTGAAGTATACATCGTATATATAAAACTATACAAATGTGTTGCAAAAACAAGAACTAACCAGTTTAAACGAAACAATTGATATTTGCACGGTGCTTCAAACTATGCTTTGGAGTTTTGAGGGACCCTCTATTTTGCCATAGACGGGAACAAAGGCAACCAAGTCAAGAACTCAAGAACCTCGTTGGCAAATTGTGGATGGGGTAGATGCAGAATTGCTGCATATGTATGCATATGATTGATTTTTCTCAAGGCTCTCAGGCTCTCAAGTTTTTCCAAGTATTGTACGCTGTATATAAGTCTATGGGCTTTGTGTGGGGTCACAATGTTGAAACGCTTGCACCCCGGGCTTCCAATCACAGCCTTTGCTCGCATCTCACACAAATGGCCGCAGAAAGTTTAAAACAGTTGAGAAGGTCGAGCCTGCGCAGGGATTCTGCTGCGATGGTGCACTGCAGCACAAGACCAAAAAATGGAAATGGGCCATGGGTTTTACAGTCTTTAGAAGACGAGATGTAGTTCAAAGCCCAAAGCTAGGGCTTACCTGGATGCTGGCGCCTGAGTTTCACCTAGCATGACCCACAGGCCACAGACAAAACCCAAGATATGCAGGACAGACCTCATCATGATGAAGACAAAGTCCGGATTGCTCCGATTACCTGCTAGGGAGGCAGTTACAAGCTCACCTTCCAACATGTCAGATAAAGGATCTGCTGGGAGCTTTCAGCTTTCAGAGGCTACCAAATGCTTGGGCACCATGTGTCTGCGATTTAGAAGCAGGGAGGACATTGGATTTGAGGATCTGCATGCCAAGACTCTCAATTGACAACCGCTTTGAGACTTGCACACAGCTTTCGACAAGCACATGGCAAGTTGGGCCCAGAGGAAATCCCGAGCCAAGAGGCTGCAGATTGGTCAGCCAAACGGGCTGCAGCTGCGATGTGGCCACTTGGCCGACACGGCAGTTGTCAGTTGGCCGACGCGCCAATCCGAGGCAATAGAGGCGAAAATTAACCGGATAGGCCCCGGATAGGCTTGATGGATGGACTAATAGGAAGAACCTTTGGTTCTCAGTCGTACTTACTTAGAGTACCTACAAGATTCTACTAGATGTGTGCAAAAAAACAGCAGTGCAAAAGTTTTTCAATTGATGGTTCTTTGGAAGCTTCATCAGTTGGGGAAGGTACACAACTTATCATCTGTCTGCGGTTGGATACATACTCCTCTACCTGAGGTTACTTGAAATAAATCTGGCCTTCATTTGCATGACATCTTCGCATGGATGTGTGAGCCTGAAGCAAACACAGACTGGAAATATTCATGTGGAGAGCAAGCTTTCCCTTCAGCCTCGTTGATGCATCAAATGCCGGGCAAAGCCGGCCCAGAAACATGGTTCATCAATTCTCCACTCTGCGAGGGTGTTTGTGCATGTGTGCGTGTTTTTGTGCCATATATGATATATGTAGCATACTGTTTTTGGCACTGGGGTGAAAAATGGAGATGGGCAGGAAGATTGGAATTATGTTCCCGTAAACACACACACACACACACTTATGGAAATGCGTACTGACTTGACAGCGGTGCCACACGCCGGCCTAGGTTACCATTTCCTAAGGGTACAGGTAGACCAAGCCAATAGCATCGACGATCACGCGACAGGTTGACGACGTGCGTGCAGGACTGTGACTCATCTCCAGGTTCAGGTAAGTTAAAGATCTCCAGAGCTCAAAACGAAAAACGGACGAGCGACAGGATGACGGCGA